TATTTAAACCAAGATAAGATATTGTTCTTGATATTTCAATATATTGGAGGGGGTAGAATCACATCCCACGCTAAGAGATGCCTCCTTGAAAGAAATGGTGCTGGAAGGGGTTCTCAAAACAATTTGTGAAAATGCCCAAATACTGGGGGTTTTAGGTCCTTTGACAGTAAAGAACATTTTCCATTTTTTTAGCCTCAGTATAGAGATAAAATCAGAGACGCAAGATGGGATTTATCACTGTTTGAAGGTTCAGGAGTCAGCTCGAGTTTTACTTTAATATTTGCAAGCTTGTGAGGAGTTCCAGCCTCAATCAATAGAACCCATCCAAGGCTATTATAGCTTTGCAGTATGAAAATCCGTGCTTCAGGTAGGTGTTGCAGTAAGAAGGCATGGAAACAGGTCCCCTGTAACTGTGCCAACAGCAGCTGGAAGTTAACGTCTAATTTAATGCAATCTCCTGACTCCTCTTGCCACCAGTGTAGATACAGTCAGATGTTTGGTGAATTTATTTGGTTCATCCATTACTGTTCCAGTGGCCTCCATAAAATGATGTGAGGGAGAGACGTCTGTACCGCAAACCAACAATGGCACAAGAGCAATGCAAGAAACCAGCAAGGCATAAACACCGTTGTAACTAATGACTGCAGCAGGTATCATAAATAGTTTCCTCAGACAGAAGGAGCTACAGCCATCATCTTATCTAAGGGCTGAAGCAACAGGGCTTTTAGGAATCTGGAGTTCCTGCTACCCTTTCCTGAAAAAGGATGGTAAAATACCTCTTCTGGGTCAACACCCTTCTGTTCAGCATTTCTATAAGGGGTTACACTGGCCAATATACAAAAGAAGTGTTGCTTTCTCTGAAAAGCAACAGCATATGATAGGAGAGATGCTTTTAAACGGGTTGAGCACAGAGGGGCTGAGTTTCCCCCACCCTGACCTATGTGAGGAATAAAGTCACTGGAAGGAGCAGCCCAGGGTTGTTCCTGGTGTTGCCCTGTATTGCTTTTCGTTGACTGCAGCAGAAGCTCTACCTAATTACACCCGTGATGAATTTGTCCTATCTGCTGTAGACGTTACTAAGGAGTGTTTATTACAGATTGGTGTGTGATGGTGTCTTCTCTCTAATCACTGCAACAAGGTCCCATAAAATGTGAGTTGATGACAAGGATCAGCCTAAGATTTAACATCCTTGTCTTTGCTGGGCTTCTTACCATTTTTTTTTTTAAAAGTAGTGTGGTTGGTGAGTTAATATACACAGCTATTCAGAACTATAAATGACTATTTATCCTGCAGCCAGCTAAAAAGGTTCAAACTATATCACAAATGAGGGTATACCGGGCAAATGGCTAACTGTGGTCTTTAATTTGTCAATAATGATTTTAGACCATGACCCTTAATAGGACACTGTCACTTGTGCTGTGATTTATGCCTAGTGTGATGACATCAGTACCAATACTGCTGATAAAAGAACACTTATATTGAAGCAAACAGGATGATGAATGGAGTACAAGTCTACTTACTCATTTCATTACTGACTCTTCTGTTCACCACAGAGCTAATGTAGCGAGTCATTGTCTGCCTTGGGAGTATTTTGCAGGTTGAATTCAATGGCACAAGTGTGTGATACGTACTTCAGTCCTGGTGCTTGAAATGGTACCATTATAGATTAGAAATATATGCATGTTAGATAGTTTACGTATCAAACAAAATAATTTTATGTCAATTTTTTAAACAGAAAACAGCTAGAAAGTACTTCTCTTGTTTTTTACTGCAGAATTTCCAAGGTTTATGAGAGCACTTAATTCCCCAACAAGTTAAATTTCTGTGTATGTTTTATAGAGTGGACAAAAATAGCAAGCAACTTTACCAGCACAGTTAAGTATGACACACATGCTTTTTAAAGGTGCACAGCATTGTTTTTTTTCAAAAAGAAGTTTTCCACTGCAAATGCAGAAGCATTAATATATAGCCATTTTAAAGAATGTTTTTAGTAGCAACCATTTGATGCTGAAACCTTTGCTGAAGTAAACAATGTAAATGTTAACATTAACCTTAATCAGACCTATTTCCTAAGATATAAATACTATACTAATGAAGGAGTCTGCCAGCATAATCAGGAGAGCAAAGAAATCCCCTAGGACTCTTCAAGCGTGTGTATGTCACCAATAATTCTGCTAACCCTTGAGTGCTAGTGACTTTGAATGTAGAGAAGGGGAGGTAAATGCAGTTTTATTAGTGCAGTTTTATTGCTATGGCCAGCTGCACTCTTTTCTCTATAAAAGGTAATTACTTCCAATAGTAACAAGCTAATTGATTGCTAATTAAATCAATTGGCACACTAACCGCTGTCAGAAAGTGACAGATTAGCTGGTCACATGACAGTGTGTTAGTAATGAAAAGTGGACATGGTCTGAGTGTGATTGACACAGCAGATGAAAAGTGATTTGGGATCTCCTAGGTGGTCATGAAGAGGGCATGGAAAACATGATTGATTCAATGGTGACTGTCAGGGAGGAAATGAGAATTGAATGGGATTCAGTGTTGCCCTGGAACCTCACCACATGATGCTCCAAGTTTTTTCACATGTAAATAAGCTAGACAGGGCTTTCTGGCAAATGAAAGGCAGGATGGGGGAGGAAAATGGGTGGAACAGAAAGTGAAAGTCAAATCAACAGAACTTAGAAACTTCAGTTTGCTTTGCAAAGTGAAAACAGACCTACAAATTTTTGACGGGTATAAACTTCTGAGTATCAGTGTTTCAGTGACTAAGAATATGTCCCGGTGTTTTCATTAAATGTGAAGGTTTATGAATTAGCTTAGGAAGGCCTTCATAAAAAGAAAAAGAATTTTTAGTCTCTTGCTTTAGTTTGCAAGAACTCTATATACTTTATAAAACAAAGGAGAGGAAAATGGAAATAATTTGATTCTATTAATATTGCACTAAAAATGCATATACAATTACATAGATATCCCTCTTGCTCTGTGTCTGTATCTTTTTTATATATATATATTTATATAAAACTATGGCAAGTTCAGTATCACAAAACCAAATTTATTTCCTAAAGATTAAAAGCTTATATCTAATATTTAACATGCATTTATTTATAAAACTTAGTACTACAAAGTAGTCAATATTGATATCTCAAAGCCCAGCCTTTTAAAGTAAAATGGGAAAATGTTGCTAATATTTTTGCTGGAAGACATTCCATACTTGCTATATAGTTATTGCCATCAACTTTGAGTAAGAGTTTCCGAAACACCAAAATCTTTATGTAGTCTTTGCATAAGAAATACTCAGTTAATAGCAGCATCTCTTAACAAATGCTGACATTTAACTGTAACTGTGAAGGTATTATCCAGGCGCATCTAAGAAGGAGACAATTATTACTGTTTTATTAACATCTAAGATGGTATGAGCCAGGGCATGCTTGTGTGCTTTATTCATCCTTTCTGAAGAGAACTGGCACCGCTAAGGACAAGTACTGTTTGGCGGTGCACTCAAGCCAGCTATTCCTTAGGGTGTTTCCTATTAGTAGAACCCAGACTGGTGGTGTTGAACAAGATGTGTGGACACAGTAATTAAACCCCACCACTTTTTTAAAAGGAAATGGGACTTCTGGCCTCATCCCTTTTCTCATACTGTCTTAGCCAAGTGCTTTCAGGATGGTGTGGGAAAGAGGTGCCACTAGTTATGACTGATTTTACTTTCTCTAATAAAGAATAGAAGTCAAAGTAAAGATGCACCTCTTTCCAACACCATAGCAGCTTGTCAAGTGATTGAATGAGGCCATGATTGGGTGGGAAGAGCTATGTACACCATCTAGAGGCTTTTGTTTTGTCTAACTGATGGGAAGTGGATTAGAAAGATGCAGGTGATGTTTTGTGCCTTAGTTTTTGGCCAGACTGTTCACCGGTGCAAATTAACATAGTCTCACTGCAGTGAGAGGTGGGATACAGGTCTGCAACAGGGTAAAAGGCAAAGTGGTGCATGTTCTGCCTCCCTTAACTCTTGCTAAGTCTCCTGTGCATGCGACACTGTCATCGGCTTCCTGTAACTTTGCTTTTTTGCTTCCTTTTTCTGTTTTTGAATGGATGTGAACTGGCATCTCTTCTAAATGTAGGTACTACCCCAGACGAAGGAAAGAAGAACCTTCATTCACAAGAATTTTAATTCATTTAATCCAAAGAAGCCTAGACTTCTCGGTTCATTTCTCCCTCAGACATGAAAATTAAAGCAAAGGGAAAAATACTGGAAAGAATCCTACCCATACAAATTATCCTAACACTTTAATGCTATGCCTGAATCTATGAGTTCTTATGTAAAATTATGCTCCAGATTATGCTGTAGCCTTAGAGGACCAATAGGCACCACCCCTAGTTAGGCAAAACACACGTTATATGAATATAAGAGTATTTTGGCAGAACGTGTTATGGGGTCATTACTTCCTCTGAATATTCCTTTTTTAATTAGAGTTTACGAAGGATCTTCCCTATCAAAGAACTTTCTATTAGGATGAGTATAACTGGTGAAATTATTTCTTGATATTAACTTTTTCAAGGATGTAAATTCTTGCTCTTATGAATTATCTTTGCACTTTCATGTGTCTCTTTTTTAATCACTTACACAAATGAAGCCAAAGTTCATGCACACAAATTATTAGATATTATTTTTTTCAAATACTCTTAATCATGCAGCATTTTATCTTCTATTTTCAGCCAAGTCTTTTAGATCTATAAACAAAAATGGGCGTTACATATAGATGTATGTTTTGTCATTTATCTCATTTGGTGAACCAAACCCCAGAAGTTATGAAATATTACCAGCAAAAAAAATCACACAAGCATTTTGGCACTGAATTTGAAGCCAGGCTAACTTCTAAACATGGTAGCAGTCAGTAATGAGTCATAAAAATCTTCCTTGTTGAATAGGAAGGTATTACAAAATGCTCTGGAAGTTCCACAGAAAGCGTTAGACTATATATCTGTCAGGTACACCCTCCCCAACAGGAAACGAAACTTCTCCAGGCAGGGAGGAGAGGAAAAAAAACCCCAAACCCTAGAGGCCGCAGGCTGAAAATTGAACTGACCAACTGAGACGTGCCAGGTACACAGAAGTGCTGACCTTTTGGCCAATGGGGATTAAAATGACCACAGATCAGATTCGACAAAGATATAAATGGGGTCCTGCCGGAGGACATTTGGAATCAGTCCTCCTTGGAGCAGCGGGTCTGCAGCTGGGGACTCTCCCCTTGGGTTGGGATGCCGCCTGACGTAACTCCTCCAGGTTGAGAGCCCTCATCTTTTAGGTGAGTGATATGCGCATTTTGAGTCATCATTTTAAATCTTAAGAATTCTTAAGTCGGCTGTGTAGTACTAATTCCCCTTACATCATTGAACCTGTGGTTCACAAATGTTATCAGAGTTCTAACTAACTTTTTTACTGAAGAATATATCTGAGTTTTAACACCTGTTGGATTTGATTGCGTGAGCCTCCATAACAATATCTCAACTTCACAATGTGTATTTTTGTCTTTTAAGGTGAACTACTGAAATGTCTTTTCTTACAGTGATGACTTCCTCCCACCTGATCACAACACCATTAGTGAGGATGAAATTACCACCCGCACTCCAGATTTGACCTGCCAGAACAGCTAAAATCCAAAATAAAAAATTCCCATATTCCCACCTCAAAGAACACAGACTTATGAGTCAGGTCACACAGAGCTCAGACTGGTACAGATGCAGGGAAAAGTCCTTTTTATGTGTTTTCTATCTTTTTGCATTATCCATCAAATCAGCTTCCTTACTCTGGGATGTGTGTAACAAACCCTACATGTAAGAGTGGATCACAAGACACATACCAGGTGCTCAGGCAAGCTGAAGGGAACGGTGGTGGTGGAGGTCTGGAAGGAAGTTCACGGGTGAGTTGTCCACCACTGCGGGTGGAGCCTGGCCGGGTACCAGCTTGTTACAAGATCCACCAGCCCCAGCGGTTCCTCCCCATTCCCATCTTCCACAAGTGCCTATTGATATTACCCAGCGATGCTTGTGGCCCCACTGCTGCTCATGCAACATGTATGTCCAACTTGGAAAACACACCTGAGCCTGTATTGGAATGTGGTCAGCTCTCTTTGGCAAAGTTTTCCTCCAAAACCATGAAAGCTGAAACACCAGTTCCAGCCCCCCCCCCCCTTTTTTAGGGTGAGATGCTTGCAAACTGAGTTGATTTTAGGAACTGCATGTGGGGTGTCTGCAATCAAGTCCTAGATTTGGCGTGCTGGACACTGTCCTAGACCTTCTTCCACCAGCTTTCTTGAAACAATCAGTACACTGATTTACACACCCGAACATGGACTCAGGCTCCCCAGGTAGGCACAAGAGCATGAAAATCTTGACCCTAGCTGTTACTCAAAATCCCAAATGGAAAATTTGTCTTGTAGTTTGGGAGAGAAGTCATGTTTCTTGACACTTGGTCCAATGTTTAAGATCATCTTTCCTCATGATTAATTCAATCACTGTACAGGAAGAAGCTGTAACAAGGATCCTGCCCTTCAGTGTGTTGTAAATATGTCCTTTCAGCAAACTAACAAGGAGTAGGAGGGGAAAGATATTATCACAGCTTGACATGCTACCTCATGGATAGAAATAAACCTGTGTGAATTAAGCTTGTATGGATTCAACAAGGCTACCATTTACAAAATAAAATTAACCACACTTATCACTGGGTTATTTTAGTTCACAAAGCTAATTCCTTAATATACTGATCAAACTGTAAATGTAAGAGTTGTTTAAATAAATCTGGTGGAATCTGTAAATTCAAGGGATTCGTGCTGTTGAGATCAACGTGGTGTCTGGTTGCCTGCTTCCATGGGTATAACTACACCATTTTGTCAATTATAACCAATGGCTTGTCTAGTTGATGCACTTGGGAAAGATAAAGCAAATCCATTAATGGTGTGAAGTCAATACTACATAAATTAAAGCATGTCAAATCCCCATATAAACGCTCTCAGCTAAAGGGGCTTTAGATCAGATGAAGCCTTCATACCCGGATTAAGCACTTTAACCTACACACATTGACATCATAAGTTTCCTTTATTTGCCTTATTTTTTCTGAGCATCCACAAGCAGACAAGTTGTCTTATGCTCACATGCTGTAGGGAAAGAAAATCCTATGATTTATATCAAAGATTTTATTTAAGCCCCACAGTGATACCCTATATACATTTAGAGACAAAATTCCCATTGATTTCAGCGGAGTCGTGTCTTTTACCTCAACCTGTTTGAGTTTATTTTAGCAGAAAAGACTCTGATGAGCTACCAGAATTTATCTGCTATCTATTGTTCAGCATGAAATAAAGAGTAATAATCTGACCTGGTTTATCTGAGCACCAGGATTGCCTCTCACTAATGATACAGAAATATATTCTGAAAGGATACCCAGCCACAACCTTTGGTCTAATCCGACTTTTTTTGGTAAGAGTTCTTAAAGACACAAGAATTAGTGCTGCCTGGACATCATTTAATAAAGCAAAACCACATGAAATGTCTGTGTCTGCTGGGTAGAATGAATCCCCAAAGGATAGCATTACATTTAGGTGGAGCTTCAATAACACTCTTACCCGCTCTCAACCTGCTTTGAATTCTGCCACTTGCTCCCTGTTGTGAAATTCAGTTTTTTCTTCTTTGGACCTGATCCAAAACTCATTAGAGTCAGCGTGAATTTAAATGAATGGACTTCGCATCATGACTTTAATTAAAGCCTTTTACAACCCCAGCCCTCTGAATGTTTCACCCTTGCTGAAACACTCTTATCTTTGCTTCTTCTGCTATTAATGACACCAATCTTATCCAGTCCCGCACAGCCTGTTCAAAGACGACTTTTTCAATTACCATCAACTGCCATCTCTATGCTAATAATTCACTGATCTACATCTCTCTAGACCTATGCCTGTGTCCAAGGTCTTGGTCTGCCTCTTTAACATCCTCTGGTGTTTACTATCGCCTAAAGCTCAGCATGGCAAAAACATAATTCTTAACCTTTCCTTCCAAGTTTTCTCTCTCACTTTGTTTGTTATTAACAATATCACCATCTTATCTGATTCAAACCGTAACCCTGGTGTTAACTTTGACTCATGTCAATCCCTAGATCTTTGGATGCCTGGTTTGCCTAAATCTGGCTGGTCTAGCATCTCTGAAATATGGGGTCTCTCCAAGTCACTGAAGTTCTCATCATCTTACCACTCAATTAATGCAATTTCATTTTCTCAGTAGACCCCAAAAGAGTGCAAATTTACTCCACTCCTATCCAGTACTGAAAAGAACATTTTTCTAGCCTGTTGCTTTGACTATGCCTTTTCCTTCCTGAGTTATATATGAACCACACTTCTTCACTTTCCAAGCCCTTCACAGACTCCTGCCAGTGCATCTACTGTCTCTTCCTCACTATTGAAACATTAGCCCACATCTCAGTTCCTTTATAACTTCTTCATCAAGCCTTTTTTGTTCTTTTGCTTCTGCATAACTGGAAAGTCCTTACCAAAAATATGCACAGAGGTACCACATTATCCTCATAAAACTTATTTTTGTTGGAAAAAAGAAAACTGACAGTGGTCAGACTGCTTGATCATTCATACACAAAGTATTTCATTGCTACTTATTACTCTCTTTTTGACTGTATCCACTTGCTGTCTCTTATTACATAGCCGTATCGTAAGATCTTTGGACAGTGTCTGCTTTTTACTTTTGCACTCATGCAGCCTCAAGGCAAAAAGGTCTTTAGACACTGTGGTAATATTAATCCCTAGGAATATTTGTTAAGATTTTGAAAAGGTCAGAAAGCACATGATACAAAAGAACATATTTTTGGTACTCTAAATCATTGGCCCGATGAGTGAACGTGACTAATATTTAGAAGTAAAATAAATAAATGAATGTTTGTATAGCACCCAGGTGATGAGTCCCTGATCTCACTGCGTCCTTCAGGTACCCAGGTACAGTTAAATAACAGAATCATTTCACCACCGAAAAGCACAAGTTTTTAATGCCAGTGCTTTATGGCAAAGGATATGAGAATGAATGAAATGTTTGCTTAATGTAACTTCTGTAGAGAAATGATTTATAACAATGCACCGTGTAGTCTACATTTATGTAAGGCTTTGTTCAGTGCCTCACATACCAGGCTTTAGGCTTCAACATTTTGGGGCACAAATCACGAGTTTTCTATGTCCCAACATACAGTCTGGTCCACACTGAAGGGGGACCAAACGTTAATTTTAGGGATATCACTGCCATCACCTTCTCCTGCCCCACATTATTGCCTTCTGCTCCTGCCCCTGCACCTGAGCTGCTCTGGTCCTGCCTTCTCTGCAGACACGATCAGTCCAGGCTCTGTGCTGTACCTCATTTCTGATCTCCACGTGCTCCGCTGGCACAGAGGGTAGAACTGTGTAGTGATCTGGCTTTTCTCTATGTTTATCCCTGTGACTGCACACCCACATAATCTGGTACCTTATAGTTACTAAGACAGAGGAGATCGAGGTCACAGGGCAATAGCTGTCACAGGGCTTCCCTTCCCACTCAAGCTTTTGGAGTCAACACTGGAGACGTCCTAGAGCAGCAGAGTCACTTCTGCGAGATGCCCTTGTCTCTAAAGGAAATAACTTGGTGAGGAGGAGTGGAATTGGCATTTCTAATGATAGGAAGTGAAGATGCCACTTCTGTTCAATCCTTATCAATATCTCGTTTCCTTATAGTAAATACTTGGGGTGACTTTTCTATTACGTGCACAGTAGGGAAATGTGCGATGGTGAGGTTTGCATATTGGCTTGTAAACAAATTTCACCATTAAGTATGTGCACCAAAACTGCTTTGACAACCTACTCAGCAGATGGTAAATGGCGACAACAAGAGGATCCATTTCAAAATAGCTCCACTCTGAAATGAATTGGAAAGTGCAGATACAGCCTGCAAAAATTTCTATCCTCATTTTATATCCTCCCCAACATCCCGGCCAGAAGTTCCCTGCCCTATGCAACACATTCCTCATCTTCTGTGTTCCTCATCTTCCTTCTCTGACCTTTTCTAGTTTCTGCTTTATGGTCTCTCAAATACAGCATTCAGCATTCAAGAGGTAGGAGCACAGATCTACACAAGAGTATGAAGATGTTTTTTGTTTTGTTCTCTGTTCTCTCTCTAATAACTTTTCACTTTCTACTTGCTCTTTTAATGTGGAAAGACTATATTAGTGGTTCCTTTTCCTGTGCTGTGGCTGATACTGAGAGAAGAGAAGAGTAAGAAATTGTACGAAGGACATTGCCGCAGGTCAGTCCAGCCTTGGGCTCGCTTGGATATATGTCAAGGAACTGAGAGCTCAGATACCATAATGATGGGCACGGGGAGAAATCCAGATTGAAACAGTACAGATATAAAAGCAAAATGTAATTAAGGAAGGATAACAGGTAGAAGGGGACAGTTAAATTTTTGTACTCTTCAGTGAAGAGAGAGAGAAAGTGGCCTGGGTTAGTCCGAGGCATATGGTGAACATGCCTGGAGTCCATGCAGTAGCTCTGCCAGCCCTGCTGTATTCCTCCTCCTCCGCCACTGCTGGGCATCCCCTGGGCACCGTCTGCCGTTTGTGCCAGATAGTGCGGTGGTTTTCTATGACACAGACAAAAAAGCCTGCCAAGGATCTAACTCAACAAATGCTTCAACAGAGTCCCAAGACAGCTTTTAAAATTAGATTTCCATGTCGAGGGTGTAAATCTACAGAAACTACTCGCTGCAGACTTTTAATGAAAGTACAACACGTCAAGTTCACCAAAGATAACTAGATTCAATGCTTGGGCTAGAAAGTCCATCATTCATCCAAGAAAGCATGCTGCAGACAAATCTATTATTTCTCAGAATGAAAACATGCAGAAGACAGTTTGGTGAAAGCTGTTTTGGAAAGGGTTTGGGACTGCTTTGGGCTGGGGGGAATTGG